TTTCAAATTAAGCATCTTGATCTTAACAATTATGTAACTGGAGGCGAGAAAAATAAATTTCAAGTCATAAAATAGTGCATCTTATATTATTTTGGTTGGTCATTTTCAAGTATTATACATCTACCAGATCTGCAAATTTCGTAATCAGGACGAGAATCCATTTCAAACCATTAGGGATTTCTATTGCTCAACTACATTTTTTGGTGAGGTTTTGAGATGACCCCTTTTTTTGGGGAAGTTTTCTATGCTTTCTCTGCAACATAAAACTTATATACTTCTCCTTATCCAAATCTCTCCATTCTGAATGGAGGGCTAAGATGGCCCCAATCACAATATCACATCTCTATTTTTTTTTTTAAATTTTTTCTATTAAATACTTTTACCCAAAATTTTTGGCATCCAATCCTCTACTAAGCTTGCACGTGTAAAAAATATATAGAAAAATTCACTATAAAATAAAATGATCAAAATACCTTTGAAGGTTTCAATAGGTATTTTGGTCATTTTATTTAATCAAAAAATTATTTTTAATATTTTTTGTAAGTTCACCCCAATGAGAAGAAGGCACATACTAAATTTTATATTTATATAATTTGTATAAGAAAACTTTAAAATAAAATACCATGATGTTTCGGATCTAAGATCAAACGGTGAGTGACTCACTTGAACAAAATTGGGTGGCTGGATGGTCGGAGAAGCATATATCTTCTATTATATAAGGGAAGTATAGAAACATTTACTCCCTTTTTTTTATCATAAATGATATGCCTTGCCCTAACCGTACACGTCGATCTCGAAAATTTAGGGACCGATTTTGTTGCTGTAGAATGCGACATATATATACATCCAAGCCTTCCATAAAAAAATGAAGAGCCATCCATTTTTTAGGAACATATGGCTTTATAGAAGTCCAAGGGTTACATAGGTCGTCTTCTATCCAAACCAGCTGTTCAAATGTTGAGGAGGATGAGTGGGAAGCACAAAAATATAGCATTTGTCGGTGGTGCTTGAAAGTGAGGGAAAATGACGTGGTGAGGACAGCTTCACCTGCATCTCAATTCATTCCTTCCCTCATTATGAGGGCAGGGGATGGAATAAAAATATTACCCACGTTTTCCCCATTCGAGTCGTCCATTTCTCAAACGTTTTTCCTGTCCCATTTTTAAGGTTTAAGTACCCTGTGATGGGATGATTTTTAACATAACAGGATCAAAAATATTGCATGCTCGTATTAGTGTCTATGCACGGTGCAATCGATTGATAGACGGTGATGTAGCAGGTGAAATGGTTTCGAGTTTTGGAGGATATCTTTTTCTTTATGTTTGGTATTTACTGTAAGATTATTATATATTACCTTTTCCAAGTTTATACCAGATCGAGTGAAAATGTCAACAATATCATCTTGAAGTTGTCAGTGATTTGGATTGAGAATCGATCTTGTTTTCTAACGAAATCGGGAATTGATCTATCTATACTTACTCACCTTGTTGCGTTAGACAACCAAGCGATGCCGATGCCGATGCCGATGCCGTTTGGAAATTTGGCAATTCGGATGGGCTGACTTTCTCAATTCCACAAATTCCATTTATTATTGTGTTTAATTATTAAAACAACTCAAAAAACATATTCAAATTTCTTTTGGGATTAATTCTCACACTAGGGAATCGGTCCCATCCAACCCAGATCGCTTATCTAGATTAGTCCAACTAGTAAGCAGCCCGACAACCGATTAGGGTTTTAAAACGCTAGTTTTAGCTAAAAAATTGCTTGAATTTAGTGTTTCTTATCCAAATACACACGATTAGGGTTTTAAGACACCAGTTTTTAGCTAAAAATTTGTTTGAATTTAATGTTTCTTATCCAAATACAAACTTTGTGAGCTTATCAAAGGCCAAAAAAGTTGGGCCTAAACACCATTAATAAACAGGTATTTTGGTAAACCCCTCTAGAAAATAATTAAGATAGTTATTCCATATAAAAATGACTTAAATGCATCAAAAATAATCGAAATGCTAAGGAGCCAAATTTTCATATATTTTTTAGTATTTTTCTTTTTTTAGCAGTTTTTATTTTTGAAAATTTTATCATATGCCCCTATTCTAACTCATAACCATATGTCTTTTCATTAGTATTTTGAAATTAAATCAAAACATACAAGTAGTGTTGCAGCCTATCTTGTATTTTAATAAACTTTCAAAATAGTTGGATAGGGCCGCAACCCTATCAAAATAAGTCAAGCCTCACCTGACAACTCATCCAAAATTGTAATAAGTGGAGTCTCACCTGACAACTCATCCAAAATTGTAATATAAACATTGGGAAACCATCACATTGATCATCTCAACTTGAACATTATGATTGAGAAAAAAAAAGGATTTCAACTCTCAAAATAATGTATATTGTAACAAATTATTTAGATAATTCATTTCGCACTAAAAACAAGCATTTACATATAATTTTGAGTTTCAAATTTTATTGTCGATGATGGAATTGATTTCAGAGCCATCAGGAAAAATTTTGTTGCCAAAAGTGCTATTCGGGTGAGGGTTTGAGGTGAGGCTTTATTTTGTTTTCATAAAGCCTAGACCTTATATATAAATTCATACTAAAATAAATGGGTGCAATTTGTATAAAGCTGAATTTTTGTGATAGCCTTGAAAAATATTTTTATATCTAATTATAAAATTTAAAGCTTCAAATATAATATAGATCGAGTAGATCTATGAAAACTTGAAAAATTAATGGTCTCAAAATACATTACAAGATGTACTATTTTTAAAACTTAAAATTTAACTGTGACGCCAATTTAATCAATTTGACGATATTTGAGCGTCAAAATAACGTGTAATTTGATTGTTCAGAGCAATGGTTTAAAAAGCGGATCGGTGACCCGGATCGGGCATCTCAAAAACCGATCCGGATCGACGAATCGGTGATCCGGATCGGGAATCGACTGGATCGGTCGGATTAAAGCTTCCAAAAAATCCGAAAAAATGATTAAAATTCATTATAAATGTTGTTTTTTAGGAATCCAATAAGAAATGAGGGTACTATATTATTAACTTTCATTTTTCTCATCAATTTGTATATATTGAGATGCTCTTTCCCAGTATAAACTTAAATTAAATATTAAATTTGCATCACATAAAAAAAAATCATAGAATTATCATAGATAAAATATATAATTATACATGGACTATTATAAAGTGTAGACTAATCAATGAAAGAATGGCCATTAAAATCTTGTTTTGCCGAAAAACCCTAATAAAAACCTAAATTATTACAACCTAACTAACTATAATCCAAAATTATTACAACTTAACTAATTATAATATTATATACTGAAATTATAATTATTAGTTTATATTTTATAATTATTTTATTAGAAAAATAATAACAAATTAAAAATATTTTAGAATATTATCTAATTGAAAAGTGATTAAAAAATTATTAGAAGAGGCTTCCATATCATATGACTAAAATTAAAAATAAAACCACCAATAAATTCTAATGTAATTATATTAAAAGATTCAAAATAACTTTACCCAAAAAAATGAAAAATAAAGATGCTAAAATTCAAAAAAAAATCCTATCGGCAATATGCACAATAGCTACAAAAAAATAAAAAAATAAAATAAAATATTGTAATAAAACCCATCGAAAAAACTATTTTACTAATAAACATCAAAAAAATTTATATGGCTATTTTTTAATTTGACACACTAAATTAATGAGTGCTATTAATTTATTTTTTAATTTTATATAGCCGTTTATTAGTGCTATTAATTTGACACGCTAAATTAAAACGCTACACATATGGATAATGGCTTGCAATAGTTAATGGCTTGGGTGACGATGGCTTGCACGCTGTTGAAGGCAAGTGGGAATTGTCCCACATCGGAAATATCAAGCGACTTCCAAGTTTATAAAAGATGTGAGGATGAGCTCTTCAACAGCGTGCGAGCGAACGGTACATGGGGTAACACATGGTTATATATGAATGTGGTACTGCCATCCAACAATATCAAAAATTACCTTCATTTTTAAGATAAATATCCCAATTACCTTTGAAAACATCATACATGCCGAGACATGACGTCACCATCCGATACTATACAGTGAATCGACAACCTTGCACGTGTGAACGCGCACGGACGAACGAAAGCACGTGCGTGAACCAGAAAAAAATCGACGATTATTTCTAAAACCGAACGATTTCCGATTTTATGATGAAATCGGCAACCTTACACGTGTGCACGTGTGAACGCGCACGGACGAACGAAAGCACATGCGTGAACCAGATAAAAATCGGCGATTATTTCTAAAACCGAACGATTTCCGATTTTATGATGAAATCGGCAACCTTGCACGTGTGAACGCGCACGGAAGAACGAAAGCACATTCGTGAACCAGATAAAAATCGACAATTCTTTCTAAAACCGAACGATTTCCGATTTTATGATGAAATAAATCGACAATTCTTTCTAAAACCGAACGATTTCCGATTTTATGATGAAATGGGCACGGGCTGTACCGATTTCTTCGCCCATTTTTAAAACACCGGTTCAGAGCTTAGGCTCTATATAAACTTTTTCCTCGATCACATACAATAAGACTTTCTTTGCCCTCAGTGTTGGCGCATTAGCCCACCATTCCTTGTAGCCGTACGAACCGCCGCACGTGCGCAGGGGCAGGATGGGTAAGATTTCAATGTAGGAGCAAGACCGCAATTGTTTTATAAACAGGGGTACATTTTGGGTAAGTGATATTTAGTTCGCGTGTCGTCGGGGCATAGAGAAGCCCGCATATCACTCCCGTCCCTCTCTATGTAAAGTTGTAGACAGCGGAGCGTAAGAGAGAGAAAGTAGAGAGAGAGAGAGAGGAAAGGGCGGGAGTATGGGCAGTGTCTCCAATGATCTGCCTCGGGTTTCGCGATTTCTATATAAATAGCAGCAGCTGGACCCATTGCTTCTATTCTGCTGCTCCGCCCCGGCCCCGGCCCCGGCCCCGGCCCCGCCAACCTTCCATTCGTTTCCCTTTCTCCAAGCTTTCTCTCTTCCTTCTTTCTCTCTCTCTTTCTCTCTACTACATGCACTACTCTCTCTTGTATAACCTAACTTTTTGAAAAAGTCCTGTCTGTTGTTTCTTCTGGTTTGGAACTCTCTCATCTTTCTCTCTCTAACTTCTGTTTATTTAAATCGCTAAATTCTTTCATTCTGCAAACCCTCTCTCTACTTCTACTTCCTTAACAATCCTCTTTCTCTCTCTAAAATCTGAGTCCTCCCATCTTCTTAAACTTGTGTTTTCTGAAATCCTTGAATCCTTCCACTTTGTACAGATCTTGCAATCCTTCTCTCTCTACACTAATCCACTCTGTTCTCATCCTTGTCTGCTTCTCCAACTATGACACCTTCTTTTAACCTGCATTTTCTTCAATCTCTGGAACTTCATCTTCTTCTTCTTCTACTTTCTCTCTTCACAATGTAGGGCTATCAACCTTCGCTTTTACAGAGTAAAATGGCGAAGGTACAAAGAGGTGTTGGCGGATCGGTCGTCCTCAACCGCCATGGTTCTCGCCTTTGGCCTGCTCTCCGCAGCTCTTGCATTGGTCTGAGGCTCATTGACACAATGCGATGTGGCCGGACATCGGTCGTCTCTTCACAAGAGCAGTTGCAGAGATCGAAGAAAAAGAAAGAAAAGAAGGAAATGAGCGATTTAAAGAAGAGGAATGAGGGATCAGAGAGGTTATCAGAGCTCTTGAAATGGGAAGTAGAATCGCTTGGTGATGTTGATGGAGAGGTGAAGAAGAAAATGGAAGTTTTCAGTGCGTTTCAGAGAGTGGTTAAGGTTTTGCAGTTCGGAGAGGGGAAGGCCAAGAAGGAGGCCGCCATTGATGTGAGGAGATTGGCCAAAGAGGATGCAGAGGCTAGGGTTGCGCTCGCTATGCTTGGAGCCATTCCTCCTCTGGTTTCGATGATCGATTGTGAAGATGAGGAGTTTCACGTGGCTTCCCTCTATGCTTTGTTGAATCTCGCCATTGGGAATGATGTGTAAGTTTCTCTGCTCCAGAGTTACCCCTTTCTCTCATTACAGAGCAGTAGATATGTATGTGAATTGTTTCTCTCTCTCTCTCATTATATAACAGGGGATTTGTAAATACATGGCCATTCCCTCTCTCTCTCACTCACTCTCATACGGTAGTGGATATGTTTTTGTATTGCTTCCCTCTGAGACTCTCTAGCAGGGATGTTTATGTGAATTGCTTCTGTCTTTCTCTCTCACTGGATCTGTGCAATGTGTCTGCATTGCATTGTATTCTGCAATGAGTTCAAGCTTCTGATTTGGCCTCCATTGCCTCGTTGATCTCTGATCCCCAATCCCCTTTCTATTCAATTTCCTTCTCTCGCATTCTCGACCAATTTTCAGATTCCAGCTGCATTCCTCCGCAGATATCTGATATCCTCTGCTTTGTTCCAGTAACCATTTCTCTGTCTAAAATCTTTACTTTGGCTAACAGATCATTCTAGCTTAATCTTATACTGCTCTGAAAGCATTTTCCATTGGATTTTCTAGCTCAGATCTGAAGTACTGAAGCTAAAGCATTTAGTTTGCATACTGCAATCCACATTTGCTCTCTCTCTTTCTTCACAACATTACGCGTCCGTCTCTCATACTACTCTGAAAGCATTTTCCATTTATTCATCTTTACTCTTCTTTCTTTCTAACTTCACTGTTTTTCTATCTCAATTAGGCGTTTTACTAGTGCACAGCATACTAACAGTGTTCTCTCTTTTTCCTCAAAAAGAACAGTGTTTTCTCTTTTCAACAATAGAAAACTGAGAAGACCCATTCCTACGTAAAATCGAAGCACATGGCATACTGTTAATGGACTCGGCTGAGTAACTCGGTCCCAGCCGAGTTCCACGGTACAACTCCTTGTTGAATTTCTTTTAAAAAGTCATTATTTTTTTTGTATAAAATTTCATGTATTATTTAGAAGTACAAGATTTCTTTGATGATTTGGGAATTTTTATTATTGCGTTCTCCTTTTTCTTTTTTTAATTTTTCTAAAATATTTTAGGATATAAATTAAAGTTTTCCATAATTCATTTCTTTATTTTTTTTGGACTTTAATAGACTTTGAATTGTTTCTATTATTTATTTTAATTTTAATTTTAATTTTTTAAAAAATTATACATTTAAGTCGAACCCTATTTTTTCCCCCAAAAAAATCTATTTTTTTTTTTAAATGTGTGATATTTTTCTTCTCATTTTGCCTCCGGCCTTGTTATTGATGCAATACCATCCTTGCTATGGTACACAGCAACAAAGCAGCAATTGTAAAGACTGGAGCAGTGCATAAGATGCTCGCCCTCTTAAAAACGCTGACGAGCCAAGCAGTTTCCGACGCAATGGTGGCCAATTTCCTTGGCCTCACCGCTCTCGACTCGAATAAGGCCATCATTGGCTCCTCAGGTGCTGTACCCTTCCTGGTCTCCGTTCTCGTGAACCCGAACACAACCCTGCAAGCAGAGCAAGATGCTCTCCGTGCCCTCTACAACCTCTCCATCTGCGCTTCCAATGCTGCCCCCCTCCTCGAGACCCCCCTCGTACCCACACTTCTAAGCCTATTGGGGGACATGGCCACGAGCGAGCGCTCATTAGCAATCCTCGCTAACCTCAGTTCCACACCGGATGGTCGTCGTGCCATCTCAAAAGGCCCAAACGCGTTCACGTTGCTTGTAGATGCGTTAACTTGGGCTGATTCTCCTAATTGCCAAGAGAGTGCGTGCTACATTATCATGATGCTCGCGCACAAGAGCTGGGCCGACAGGCAAGCACTTGTGAGCGCTGGTGCAGTGTCAGCATTGCTTGAGCTCACTCTGATTGGGAGCGTTCTTGCGCAGAAACGTGCATCTAGAATTCTCGAGTTTTTGAGAGTGAGAAGGGGAAGCAAATAGAGGCCGGGGGCTCGGCTGTGGCCCCAGTGTCTGCCCCGATATGTGGAGGTGGGGGAGAGGGATGGGGAGGTGGGGATATGAGTGAGGAGAGAATGGCGGTGAAGGAGATGGTTCAGTTGAGTTTGCAGAGCAATATGAGGAGGATTGTTATGAGGGCGAATTTGCCTCAGGAGTTTGCTCCCTCTGAGCACTTCAAGACTGTGACTGCGACTTCTTCGTCCAAGAGCTTGCCCTTCTGACGGGTTCAGGATGGTGGGCTTTCTTTTGTCTTCTTTATTGAACTTCAATGGAGGTTGAAGAGGAAGGGTTCTCCTGGTTTGCAGAGAGAGAAAGAGAGAGGTGAGTGCTTTTGGGTCCTTTATAAAAATTTAATGGAGGGTGAAGAGAGTGGATAAGAGGTTGAAGTGAGTGGTTTTTTTTGTTTTATTTAATCGAGTAAAGAGAGAGTTAAATTTAATGGAGCAGAGAGAGAGAGAGTGCTGGGGGTGGGATTGTTGCAGACATGGAGTTGCTTTCACTGGTTTTGTGCGTTCGCTGCTTTTCTTTAATTTTTTTTCTTCTATGTACAGGAGATAAGTAGTGAAATAATGGGTGGGAAGGGGAATCACCGGTTTTTCTGCAATAATTTATCTGCCGATTTTTTGAGTTGTCATATTTCTCTTCTCGGCTCTGAATACCTTAGCTGTATCCAGCTTTCTATTCTCATTTTTCCATCGATGTCCTTCCGAAATTTTCCTTTTTGGATCCGAACTAATGTTTCAAACCTAGATCCACCGGGTGGATTGTCCACCATCCCACGGATCCACGACAGGTCTCTAGGGCTAGTGCTGGCCCATTTCGGCCCGGCCCTAGCCCTATAGTGATAAGTGCGGCCCCAAGGATGGGCCAGCTCAAGCCGGGCCGATTGCCATATTTACTCATGAATTAAATCAGTTGAGACCTCGAGGCATTCTTAAAAAAACAAAAAGTTGAGACCTTTGAGGTATTCTTAAAAAAAAGAAAAAAAGAAAAACGACAACAAAAAACTGTCTTAAAAAAAAAAGTTCATATAAGGTTGAGACCTTAAAACATAGAATTAGGACGCACATTAAATCCTTCAAAAAGGGTTCTTTGATGTTGGGGAAAGATTTGATAGATCATCTAGACATTGAGATGTACATAAATAGATCAAAAAAGATATTTTAAGTTCTAAAATATTGTATCTTGCAACATATTATTTAGACTGTCCATTTTTAAGATTTTTATACAATCTTGCTTGATTTGAACCATTTTTTAATTTTAAAATTTTATAATTAAAAAAAAATAGATTCTCGCATCACACCAAAATTGCATATCCTCACAAAGTTTAGTTGTGCACTTTAATTTGACAGTAGAACCACACCCCAACATAATATAACTTATTGAGAACATCTTTTAATGGAAAATCATCACAAAATTTAGAAGTGCACTTTAATTTGTTCGTATAAGGTTGCAACCTTATACAAACCACACTCCGACATAAAATATAACATATTGAGAACATCGTTTAATGGAAAATTGTAGGATATGCCGGGGTATCACAATTTTACAGTCCCAGATGCATCCAACATATAAGATATGTGTTATGCGTGTAAGCTTTAAATCCGATGGGTTAATATTTGACAAATAAAATATGAGAAATAAAACATAAAACATATACAACAAGAACACAAAGATTTACGTGGTTCATTCAAAATGACTACATTCATGAGCACGACAAACAGAAATCCACTATACCAATAAAAGTTACATCAAAAATTTTAAAACAAACATCGATAAAAATAACCAAGTCGAACAAACTCTTTTAAACTTGCTCTCCCAAACGAGAGCACTGCCGATCTCTTATCTCTATTCCATAACTAGACCATTGTCTAGGAAGAGAACAACCTTGAGAGCAAACAAGACTTTATCTCACTAAATGGAAACCATCCAAAATCTCAATGGGACTACTTCTCTATAAGAAATAAGCCTCTCTATCTTCGGGAATCCAAAAAAGACATCATCACAATGTTTCTGTCCCAAAGAAGCTCTTTTATCTATTTGTCCCAAAAAAGCTCTTTTATCGAAAATGAAATCGCATCTTATGCACAAAAGGCTTTACCTCCCTCTCTCTTTAGAGGAACCACCATTTTCAATGGTGACCCAAATTGGGCATACAAATTCTTTGCACTTTCATCTCATATATATAATTAAGAATCCACGCAAAATAGAAAACTTTCTATTGATATAACATATATCTCGAAAGACCAAGATATATATCCATCAAACAGTCTTAATCTTTTTGAATTTCTATTTCTTTTAAAAACTTTATCAATATCAATATTGATCCCACAAATTATAAGAATATCTCAATTCTACATAATATCGATCAATCTTAATCGATCCCACAGAATATGAGATTATCTCAATCCCACAAAATATGGGAATATCCCAATCCCATAAATATCTTAATTCCACAAAATATGAGATTTCTTGGTGATTTTGGATAGCACCAAATCTAATAATGGTCCCACCCAGATTTGAAATAGATGATGATAAAAACATGTCAAAAAAATTTATTTTCTATTTTAAAGATTAGTTTTTTTTTTTTTTTATGTTCATTCATATTAACCACCATGGACATTGTTAACCTTTAAACTTTTAAATCCAAAATCTATCTCTAAATTGGATTTTAGAAAGAGGACACATGTAAATAGGTGAGGCAGGGGACTCACCAAAACATTGTCCTTTTTTAAATCTGCCAATAGGATAAATTCCCCAATCTTGTAAATAAGTCTATTAATGAGGTTGAGCAGTGTCATATTTATCAGAAAAGTAAATTGAGAAATGCAGAGAGTGTGTGTCATATTTATTAGAAAAGTAAATTGAGAAATGCAGAGAGTAGGTATATATTAACTGTAAGAATGACAAGATGCATATACACATATAGGAAAGAAAGGAAATAGACAGGAGAGAGAGGGAAATAGAGGGGAAGAATGTTAGGGGATATGTGTAAAGAGAAA